AAGGCTAACACAGAAGTCTCAGTGTTCAATGCATGTAAAAACTATCTGGAATATTTGTTTAAAATAAAGATTTCTCAGTCTTTATCACCAGAAACTCCAATTTATCCATTGGATAAGGACTCAGAAATAAGTACCTGAGTACCTAGTGCTCACACCTTGAGAAACACTGTTAGAATTCTTGAAATGCTGACAAGGGAGAAAACAGAGAACCAGAATATATTAACTAAGGAAATGATAGGGAAAGGAGATTTTAGTTGAAATAAAGTGACAAGCAGAAAAGAAACTAGAAATTCAAGATACAACTAAATTAAAAGAATCTTTCAGAAATAGTATTAAAGTATATATATTAAGAGGGGTATAAAAAGACACAAGCAAAGACTGGTTGGTCAGAGGTAGTTTGTAAGCAGATAATATAAAATTTAAAAAAATAAGCAATTCAAGGCTTATAGATTAAGGAAATAGCAATTTATTACCTTTACCTTTATAAAAGTTATATGCCTTATTATAGAACAGTTGAGAAATAATAAGAAAATATAAATTTAGTTTGTAATTAATAAAGTTACTGACATTTTGGTATATTTTATGCTCGTCTTTGTTTCTGCTTAGTCTCTCCTATGTTTTGAATGTTTCATGTAATTGAAATAACACTACATATATCATCTAATATCCAGAGAAAGATAGGCCAGTCTTGGAAAGGCCACAGGGCAGCTCTCATTGTTCTGTGGGCTGCAGTAAGTTGGAATGCAGCTGAGGGCAATGGTGTGCCAGTGACTGACTCAGGAAGGGGCAAGCTATCCACTCCTGGTCACTGATGATTGAGGGGAAGCCCATACTTAGGCCTTATGGGAGTGGGTTCTTTGTTTTGAAAGGAAATACGAGGAAAGAGATTATTTCTCTTCCTGCCTGTGGAAGGTGTGTGAGGTAATGCCTGGAGCTGGTAATTGGAACTGCCATAACCATCTTGTGAACAGAAGGGGAGCCAGTCTACAGGCTGAAAATGAAAAGAACGAATAGGATGAATGAATGCTAGCTGACTTTGTCACTCCAAGTCATTAAACCTCCCTTAAAACGTCTTGTTTTTAAATTTTTATTAATGTTTTATGTTTAAAAAATTTTTAATTGTGTTTTTAATGAAAGTTTACAGAAAGGTTGGGTTTTCATTCATTCATTAATGCACATTTTTCTCCCTCTCGCTCTCTTCCCCTCCCCCAATTCACTCTGCATTCATCGCACCTCTTGTTCCAGTTTGTTGTCATACATATAATGCCTAATCATGCATTCCTTTCAGACAGTTTAAACCTCTTTAAGTTCTTTCTCGCACTAGAAAGCAACTTAACATATATGACATTTTGACTTAACCATTTTCCTCTTTTTGGCTATTTAGGTTAGGTTACTTAGAGGGTTTTTGCTATCAGTTTCTGTCTTTGGATAGTTTCAAGAGAAAAACAACATAGCTTAGATAGTAAGGTGATTTACTTTTTTGGAGGGGAAAAAAAACACTCCACAAGCAATAAAGAAAAGAAACAGGAATGAACTTGAAATATCTCGGGTCATCAAAGCAGAATCATTCTGATTCTCCACTCCCTTCATTGCTCATTGCTGTCAGCGGAGTGAGTTTCAGTGACAAGTTACATTTCAGAAGGAAAAACTAAGAAACACACAATAAAGGTGAATACAAATAATCCTTCAAAATACGAAAGCTATTCTTATACTGTTACATTGTTTCATCATTTTTTTTTCTGTTCTTTTTATACTAAGATTTTAATTACCTTGGTCATGGGGGGGAAAAAACTCCAGCCTGTGACACTTGGAAATACCAGTCTCACCAAGATTTGTTGTAGATTCTACCCAATGTATAATCCAAATGCCTCTAATCTATTTTTTTTTTTGCATCTAATCTATTTAATTGACAACTTTAAGAATTCCATTTCCCAGGTGTGTTTCAGGGATGAGTCTGTCATTCTAGAATCAAAAGTGGACAATGGGCACCTCAGTGAAGTGAAGAGGTCCAGAATGTCTGAGAAATGAGTGGTAGAAGAAACAGTGTCTGCCTATCATTTCATCACTAGTGGTAGTTGGACTTCTTCGTAATCTCAGATTTTAGATTTGTTGACTTTTTAAGCATTTAGTTGTTTTAGTGTCAAATTTTGGAAAGAAAGAGCCTCAGTGAAAAGAGGCCATGGCTGTGCTAAGTAAAACCCAACCCAACCCACTGCCACTGCATTGACTCTGCCTCCCAGCCACTTTGCACCAGGAGTCCAAGACTCTAAATCTTTTCAAGAGGAGTCTGCCCATCCCCTTCACACAAAGCAGTTGGTAGATCTGCACCAGGAATGTTTCACTTTGACAAGTTACACACTACACCACCAGGGCCTTCTATGCAAAATAGTAAACAAAATTATTACAATTATAAAGCTAATATAACAATGGCCTACATTTCAAGATTAGAAGCGATAAGTACACTTAACATACATTCATAAATTTACATTGACAAATAGTTCACAAAGTAATTTATTTTTAGGAATTCTTTTTTCAATTCCACATAGTTTACAAACTGAGATTACCTTCATGGTCCAAGCGTAATTCTCAGCTGTTGTTCATGAAGTTTCTCAGCCCTGTGGTTATGACTCGTGTTATTTCCCACTCCTGGGCTCTCTGGCCAGGACTATTGATTCATGAGTTGACTATGGCAGAGGGTGTGAGGAAAGCACAAGCTAATCTAAAACTCAAATAATGACTCTTCTCTGAACAAAAAACCCAGCCTATCTTTTTTTCTGGGATACATGATGCTATTTTCCTTATAATGTATCATGTGTTTGTCTCACATAGGATTAATTTCCTTCATATTTGGACATTCTAAAGAACTAGAAGGAACTCACTGTTCAAAAGTTCACATGAGGATCATGCAGGTGTGGAAAGAATCAAGTCTAGCTGAAGCTAAATCCTTTTTGAGCCTTGATGGAGGCTGGATTTAAGAGTGTAGTGAGAGGGGAATTGTTAAACCCTATTACAGATTTTAAAGTTATCTAAATAGTCAACAGACTTTTTTTTTTTTTAAACTCACACAAAAACAACAAAACCAAACTACTGGGCACAGAAAGGCAGAAACATATTATGGAAATGAGTCATACCTAAAACAGAGCTTGGCACATGGAAAGCACATATTAAGCACCAATTATATTAATGAGTAAATTAAGAAATTTTAAGTAAATTTGCCTCAACTTTTGAAATGGGGTATGTATAAGGGAGAGGGATACAGCTTTTTCTTCTTTTTACTCTTTTTTATTTCGCTGCTGGGCCTCATTTCCTCAACTCATAAAAGGTAAGGGAATGGCATTTTACTTGTATATATTCTATATACCCCTGTGACAGGGACTTTAAGGATATGCCTACAGTCTGATAGTGAGCAAGGGTCACTGTTTGATGATTAGACTGAACCCTGTGCAATGGAACTGTGACACTTGTCCGTTGAGGGTGGGTGGGGCTGTGAGACTGACTACACAGAAAAGGCCTGCAGGGTTGGGGTGCTCTAGGGTCAAACAGTGTGTAACCTTGCCCTGAAGTGTTCAAATCTTCCATGTCAAGGTGGGCAGGATCTTGAGAGTGGGGCGGGGGGGGGGGGGGGTGGGAAGAGGCCACTGAGTTAATTCTGTACAAACAAAACTTTTTCATTCCCCTGAATACCACATACGCACACACCCCCACTTCATATCTGCCTCCTCTTTTCTGTGAAACTGTGGGCTCTCTCATATCAGGGAACACCCGTTGTGCTAGGCTGAGGAGTGAACATTTTGTTAGAATGAGAAATCATCTCCAGTGAACAGGAGAAGTGCTATCTAGTCAGCTCCCCTGATAACTGGGCAAACCATGAGACCAGAACATTTTGTTGAGACCTCCTTGTAAATTATATTCTACAAAGCAATAGTGGTAATACATGTTGAATCTAATCAGTTCCCTACCATTCTAGAGGACTCTAAGATACATATGATACATGCATAGGATATATTGCCCATAGGTGAAACATGCCCTCATCACACAAATAGACAAATCTTGACAGTCCAAGAACACCCTTATTCACCCATTTTCATGACTTAAGAGTCTCTAAGAACCTACTAGGCCATAAAACTCCTCTCTCTGGGTTTCCAAGTTGAATCATCACCCTTAGATTCTCCACACAGTATGATTGCTTCTCTCCAGCCAAAGCCTTCCACCCTAATCCTACCCTTTCCTTCAGGATTGTCATTATATCACCGCCATATCCCAAATAATAATTTAGAAACAGTTAAAACATCTCAAAAGGTCTTATTTCTCATGAATTCTCTACACAAGTAAACTATATGTCTACCATTTTGCCAGAGACAAAAGACCACACAGTAAAGGAAATTCACCAATAATTTGATATTGTTTACTTTGCAGAGAATTTCTAACCTTGAGGAGAAAGGATCTCGACTGTTAGAAAGAGATCTCTTTAGTTGCCTATTCTTGCCCCAAATTCTTGAAGGTTCTATCTTCCTGTACTTTTATAGGATTTTACTTCTCTGAAGGCTGAATACAGTATCTGTACTGCTAAGTCATTATGTTCAAAGTCTAATGGTAAAAGAAGTAGCCCATCATAAACTTTGACAAGACTTTTAAAAATTAAGTGTTGAGAAACTTTTTTTAGGCTTGTTCCTACAAGGGAGGCAGATGCTAGATTTACATGTTAATCATATTGACTAAAATACATTGCTTTGCTATGAAGGAGTAACACACAAGGAAAAAGGGATAAACCTCAGAGTTATGAACTTTAATGTCTTTGAGAAACAAGAACAGACCACAATTGTCCAATTCCCACATACCACAACACAAAAAAGGGAAAGGTTGAAGTGTCAGTGAAAGAATTGTGAGAAACTCTATTATAAAAACCCACGTATCAAGGACACCGTTCAAGATTAATTTTTTCGTGGCACCCCAATCTTTCAGAATCCAAAGGAAAACCAGAAGACACTTTTGCAGAAAGGTTGAAACAAAAAAAGTTTTATTTTTGAAATACAGTCTTTAAAGATAAATTTGGCTTCCATTTTCCATTATCTAGGTGCATCCAACAAGATACAAAAACAAAACAAGACGACAAAAGACCCACAACATTCTGTACAGAGCTCTAAAATGAGCTGTGAATATCTATAAGAAACTAGCATATGCTCTTTGTGAAGGGGTGTATGTGTGTGGCTTTCTACAGTTCTCAGTCCTCCGGAAGAAGAGTTAAACTCCTTGGAGCTGCAGGTGCGGCTGCAGCAAAGGAAGAGCTGGGGTCAGTAGGGGGCTAGGGTGGGGCCTCCAGGTGGGAGGCGTGGAGAGGTGTCTGGGGAGGGGGGTGGCAGCGGCACGGGACAGATCCTGGGCTTCTCTAGAAGTCCTGCCGCGGGGTGTGAGTCAGGCTGTGCCTCCGCAGATCACAGTTTCGCCTGAACACTTTGCCGCACTGCTCGCAGCTGTAGGGCTTGATGTCTGTATGGGTGAGAAGGTGAGTTTTCAGATTACTTCTCTGATTAAAGGTTCTTCCACATGTGGGGCATTTGTGTGGAGATTCCTGTTCAGATGTGAAGCAAGCAAAGGATTAATCCTTCACACCACCACGGCACCCTTCTCAATAGTCTGTCTTATCCGTATCACAAGCATTAACTGTAACACACGCGCGCACGACAACAAAAGAGGGGACCTGCAGGGACAAATCTGTGCTCCTAATCCTCCAATCACGAAAACATGAGCAGGCACACACACAGGCCCGGTTGCACTGATAGCTGTGGGGGGCCAGATCCGAGGCCACCGAGGTGGGCTCTGTGATTCCCAGCTCTTTGCATTTCATCACCATGTCACAGGCAGGAAAGGGGAGTAGGGGGAGGAAAAGCTTGGTTCCTCTCTTAAGAAATGACTACGCTCCTCTTTGCTGGAAAATTAAACTATTCCTCAATGTTCTGGAAACTACAAATTATGAGGCCCCTGGGAATGAGAGCATATGCGATTTCACTGTGCCTTCATTATCAAAATTACCTTTATTTCCTCTCAAACACGAAAGGTTTAAATACAGGATGGATCAGATTTAATATATATGATTCTAGTATTAGGATTTATTTAAAATAAAGAGAGTGGCTTGTTCTTTAAAAAATTGTGTTAAGTAAAATTAATTTTATATATTCAAAAAAATTAAGAGTGCTGCTTTTCTCTACCTTAGCGTTAATCTAAACAGAACCTTTTGAGAGACGCCAACATTTAACTCCTCTTGTAAAACAGTCCATTATCAAACTGAAGCAGTCATGATTTTTAAGCAAGAAAACAAACTTACCTGCATATGTAAAGTTTTGTGAACGGCTAGAGTTCTAGACTGACAAAATCCTTTTCCACATTCCTGACATTTGAAAGGTTTCTCCTTGGAATGGATATACCTGAAAATCAATAGAAGGATTCATTGAATTGTCTTTCACCCAACTTTAGGACTATGCGAGATTTCTCTTTTGACAATTACTCAAAACAATGTGGACGTGGGATGTGTCATAGAAGGACAAAAACTCCGGTTTCCATTATTCCTTTTTAGGGGTCTGTTCCTCCCTCCTCTATGTATATTTCTGTTTATGGTTAACTTCCACTAACAGACTCTTCACTGGCCGGTCCAATTGGCTTTATCTACACTTGATCTGCCTCTTTGGCATGTTCTGGTGCTCAAAATCATGCCTTTCTTGGCCTCCGTGGTTTTCTCTGGGATTTAAACTGTACTTTAAGGACAGGCTGCACTTAGGGGACTGATTTTGGTCAATCTCTTAATAGCGGCTGCAGAGGCTGTGTGCAGGGAACCACAAGCCAGGGAATAGCAGGTTGATTCTGAGGAAGGTCCCATCCTCTCTCAGGACATTTTTACTTGATGACAACACTTAAGTTATAGCATTTCTTCTTGAATTAAAAGTCGAGGAGAGGAGGTGGGAGTTGTTTATAAATCCAATGACCTCAGGAAGCTCCTCAAACTCATCTAAAAATAAAGATTTAAAGAAAGACTACCATGAGGAGGAGGGGGGGGGGCAGTGGAAGTAGACAAGGCAACCAAGAGCGACCCGTACATGGAACCCAGAACCAAAGCCCATAAAAGCTTTTTCCAGACTCCAAAACAGGGAAGGACCTGCTGATCCCAAACAAAACCCCAGCAGGCTAGCTCTGGGGGACAGGGGAAGTGAAGCTAGCTGGGAGAGCCCTGGGGGAGATATTCTAGTTCAAAGGTGATTTTAATGACCCTTGAGATGTTCTAGATAAATTCTCCTTCTCTCCCTTGCGATCCTCCTTCTACCTCACCTGTGATCACGCAAGTGGTCTTGTCTCCGGAAGGCTTTGTGACAGATGTCACACGTGTAAGGCCTCTCATCTGTATGGGTCCTTTCATGGATGAGCAAGTTGTAGGATTTGGTAAAGTGTCTGCCGCAAAACTTGCAGATAAACTCTTTTTTCGTTTTGGAGGGCAACCTCCCTCGGGAAGGCTTTCTGTCCGGAGTCAATTTACTGAGGCCCGAGATAGGACTGCCCAGGCCCGGGCTCAGCTTGGTCAGGTCCCCCATCTTAGGAGGGTCCTCTTGTGTGGCAGCCACAGCCAAGTTGGCAAAGTCAAAACGGGGCCGGTCTTTGTGCAGGGCTGGCAGCACGTGGGCAATGGCCCCCTGTTTGGGGTGGAACAGGTGGGTGGTAAAGGGCAGAGCCGGGAAGGGGAAGCGAGCGTCCATGAGGCCCTGGGCAGCAGCCATCTCGGTGATGGTGGAGCGGGCGATCTCGTGCATGTTGGGGTACCCCAGTGTCCAGTGGTTCATGTGCATGGTCTGCACCGCGCTGAGCCCATAGAGGCCCTGCAGGTGGTCCACAGCAGCAGGGAAGGTGTTTACGGCCTGCAGGAAGGAGTAGTTGGTGAGCTGCAGGGATGGGTGGAGCGGGATGGGCGCTGGTAGGGCCTTGCTCCCCATCTTGGTGAGCGCTGAGGGCTGGAGGACGCCGCCTCTTTCTTCCAGGACTCCGAAGCGGGTGGTCAAGGGCTTCTGGTGAAAATGCAGGGAGACAACCACGTGCAGAGAAAACCCTAGAAATAGCAGAGAAGGAGATCGTGAATACTGTCCATGCTGTCTCTAAGCAAACTCCCATGATTTTCCTCTCAAGTCTCCGTCCAGCTCAGCACCGCAAAGTTCCCCGTTCTGGAAATGAGAGGTCTCTGGGAAGCACTCTGTGCCAGGACCAAGGGAAGACCACCTTCATCTAGTACAGACTATACCTCCCCAATAAATAACACCCACAGGCAAGGAGCCTTGCCGCTGTCGCTGTCACCGCAGGTCTGACCCTGGTCTCCAAGGGCCAGCAAGTCCCCACAGGCTGCTCTGTCCTGCCTGCATGCAGGAGGGACCTGCTGGGAACAGGGGTGCAAGGCGCAGCAGTGGGAGGCAGGTCCTCCAGGCAGAAGGCCCCCTCGCTGCAATGTTCCCGGAGGCTTTCGCTTTCCTTCCTCGGCCACCACAGTGCCATTTGTCAACAGTGAGGGACCGCAGGAAGAAAAAACCACCAGGGGATGGGTCCGGTGGTCTAAAATCACCCCCCCTTCCACTCTCCACCATGATCCCTTCCAGATGGTTCAGGCTCCTTGGGGGGCAGGAGAAGTCCCCTGGCTGAACCTCCTCTCCAGCCTAGGCACCAAACTCTCTGAGGCTGAGCGCAGGCCTGGAGGGAGGAGCGGCCTGGAGCATAAAAGGCTCCTTGGGGAGGAAAGGGAAGGAGCTGCAGGGAGCCCCCCAAGGAAGGGCTTGTGCTTTGTGGGGGCCAAGCACAAGGTGGGTGCTGCCAGGGAGTGAGGCCAGGTTGTATGGCCTGGGCCTAAACAGGGTGCACATTCTCCCCACTTCCGGCACCCCAACAGCAACATGTGTTTCCAGGGACACCTCAGTTCCCTCCTCATCTGCATTCAGGGTGGGTCTCTTTACTCATTACCACTGCCAGGCCCATGTCAGCAGTGGGTTCTGTTTGCCCCCACATCTGTGTCAGCCCCCTGGCAGCACCCCATCCAGGTGCAGGACCCTCAACGAAGCTCTTCCCAAAGAGGGGCTGGCAAGTCTGTGTCTCCCCTCCCTCCCACTCTTTTCTGCTTCTGGAGTGGCTTCTCTAAGGTTCTGTAAAGCACTGCTGGGGGTTCGATCTGAAGGCAGACTTGTGGGGCTGCACTACCAAGACTATGGGACAAGACAGTCCCCCACTTCCAGCACAGTCCTTTCCTCCTCTACTCAGAGACAGATACTTATTAATTAATTAATGAACCCTTCAGCCTGAAGGTCTGTGGTCTGGGAGTTCAGGCCCCAAGTTAATGAGAGGTGTGTGACAGCTGGAGGGTCCCTGTCAAACCGTACAACCAAACCTGTAAACCCTGTCAGTAATAAATATTCCCACCCAGATCAGGATTCACTCCTGTCTAGCTGAAACTCTCAAGCCCTCTGCTGAAAAGACAGGAAGAAGAGACTCTATAAATATATACCTGTTCCCCCGACTGGTTCTCCTTAACTTTCATATTATTAGACATTACATTTTCCATTTCTTTGCACAATGCTGATTTCCATACATTGCTTTCCCCTTCAGTGCTGAAGAGCAGCATTGCTCTCCATCAAAAGAAAACCGAATTATTCTTAGAGTTTAGAAATAAACACAGAAGCCAAAGAACAACTCCCACCATGTTCTGTGCATGGGGCCACTGTCAACTTGGGACATATATGACTTGTGCTTTCTATTCCAAGTCCTCAATGTGAACTCTGTCATAAAGGTTTTATGTTACTTCTGCGAGCAGAAAGTAGAATGCGTATTCCTCCCTTCCCTCAGAATGATTTATAATTCAGACATTAAGGACTCTTACTATTCTGCTTCAACATGGCACAAAAAGTGCGATTTCACCGCACGTGTTTTGTTCTTAATTTGCAGAGCAAAAGAGCTTATTCAGAGAGGGAGAGGACACCAATGCTTTACAAACAAGACCCCAAACTTACGCCAAACACTTTTGCCAAAAATAATTTGAGCGTTTAGCGTTCCACTCTCCTGCTGAGTTGCTGGAAATATATGTCAAAGATATTTTCAGTCAATGCAGAGATCTGAAGTACTTTCGTTTTGTTGAGAGCTCAGCTTTGCGGTTCCCACACTCGATTTTAGGCAATAATACTGAGATCCTTCTAGGCGGCTGTCATTTCTCCTGCCTCTTCTTGCGGACCATTTGGTTAGTTTTTTCATTTTGCAAAGAAAGGGATGTAAACCAATGAAAAGACTAAAACATTTTGGTAAACACTAGTTTCTCCATTTATCTTCTTTACAGGCATCTCCAGTCATGCACATAAGTTTTGCTTTTGGGTTTTTGTTTTTTTAAAGAAATTAGTTCCCTGGCTGTCCACAAGTGAGGGGTGTATTTTCTAAATCCAGTTCGATGAGGCTTTAAAAAATGTTGGAGAATAAAAAGGTACGTGATCATTTGAGGAGCAATTTCACTCTTTGGCAATGGTATTATTAGTGGTCACCTAAAAATAATATACAGTTGGCGTCTTCTTCGCCACCTGGGCTTTCGTTAAGCTGACAGAAAAATGACAGAAGGATCTACAAATTCGCTGAATTTTCGCCCAAGCCACGATAGGATTTTGCACAAATAAGGAGAGTTGGTTTTTGTTTTTGTTTAAAAGAAGAAGAAGAAGGGAGAGAGAGATTAGATCAGGTGAATGGAGAGAAGAAAAAAAAAATTACAACAACGAACGCCTGCAAAGTCCTGCCCTTAGCAGCGGCTCTGCCTTCTCAAGGAGTTAATGAAATGAAGACTCCTTCCTTGTAACCTGGGTGGTTTCTCTCCGTTCCTCGCTCCCTCTTCGAGAGTAATTTTCTCGTTCCTGCTCCGGATTGCTGGTCTTCCAACCCCAGAGAAAGTAGCTGTCTGCGTCTTTTCGCTCGGGGAAACATCGGTCCTCTTTTGTTCTCTACTAACAGGTAGGCAGACAGATCCAGCTCTGCCCTCCTCACACATCTTTTCCTGCTTCCTTCTTCCCACGGCCGCAATTCCTTCACCGCTGCTATTTCTCACGAAGCCAAGCGTAGAAACTCTCGGCAAGGCTGCCTTTGGTCCCTTCCACCCGGGCGCAGACAATCAGGCGGCCAGCACGACTGGCCAGGGCTGGGTATCCTCCTCCGTAGGAAATTCACCTAGAATTTCCCCATTCGCTTCAGCGCAGCTGCCCGAGCCGCCCCGGGTCCCCGCCAGCCGGGCCTGAGCTGGGGCGCCGCCCCGGCCAGAGCGAGACCTTGGCTCTGCAGGGCAGGGGCAGAAACTGCAAGGACTCATAGGGGCTACCTCCACGTACGCCAGCCAGCTCTTACAAGCAGGCTTGCTGAATGGAAACTTAAATAACACGTCCCAAAACAAAACTAAAAAAAAAAAAAAGGCAAATGAAAGTGTGTGGGTGTGAGCGAGAAAAAGAAAGAGCGCGCGCGCGAGAGCGCTGCAAGTCGCGTGCTTGCGGGTCCGAGGAAGTGAGAAACACAATGCCCCGGGTTTGAATCCACACGCTTTTCCATGCGCTCTCGTGGACCTCGCGGCACACCCGGCGAGAAGGTGGGCGCCCCCGGCACTCCCAGCCCGTCCAGGGATAGGGCGGCTGCAGCCCCTTCCCGGTGCCATCACTCACCTCGCGCAGCACAGTCCGTCCGGGCGGCGCGCTCAGACCCGGGCCGGGCGGCGGGGTGCGCAGCTGGGCAGGATCATTGCATTCACGCCGTGCAAACTGCTTCTTCCGAGCGAAGTCCCGAGAGCCTCGGACATGATCTGGAGAACCGCGAGCGAGCGAGCAGCCCAAGCGACCACGGCTCCTGACCCCCTGATCGGAGTCCGGGGGACGCGGAAGTGGCGAAATCTGGGGTGCTTGGAGCCGGAGCTCAGCGCTCTCCCGGAGCCCCGCGCCGCCGCGAGCCTCTCGCTGCCGACTCCGGGTGAGGTCGGAGCCTACAGCCTCGCAGGGCCATTACCCTCCAGCAGCCAGCGCGCCGAGCTCCGTCCCGCCCGCGTCCCTCCCCAGGCTGCCCAAGGCCGGGAGTCCCGGGTTTTAGTAGCGGCCCCGCCTCCCCTCCGGGCGGGCGTCCTGCAGCAACGCAGGGCCCACCGCTCCCAGGCTCCGCCCCCGCGCCCGGCGCCCGCTAATGGTCCACTCTGTTTACTTGTGTTTGGATAGCAACTGAGTCTTAAAGGCATAGGTTTGCCCGAGGTTTCCCTGTGAGCACAACGAAGGTGACTCAGTTGAAAACGCACGACCAGCCAACCACAACGCCCACCCCTCAGCCTTCTGGGTGCCACTTTTCCTTGCACTGTTAGGAGCTCAACACAGAGTCCTCTCCCTCCCTGGGACCCTGCAGAAAAATTCAAAGGGCATTTTGTAGTTTTGACATGCTAGACGGCTCAGTTTCCAGTCTTACCACATTTAACACAACCGTCTTCCTTATGTCAGTTCTAGATTATTTTCTCCAGCACAGATTACACTTCCTTCGAGCCGAGTATGGTTTCATGCATATTTCTGCAGTGTGTGTAATCAGGTTTCAAAACGAAGTTTATTTCTAGAGGTGACAATTGACCAATTCCGTAATTACTACAAAAATGTGGAACAGCCCAGGAAAAATTTTTTCCAATATTTGGGCTTTAATCAGCCAGTCGACATTTCACAGTTAACCAGCCTTGTTTCAAAAGGGTGGTGATTACCAACCTAATGACAAACAGTTAAGGAATTAATCTCGAATGGGTGACAGGTGATCATTCTTAAAGTTTTTAAGACAGTTCAGTTGTTTCTACCTCCTCAAAGCAAAAATTTCTCTTCATGACGAGCGAAAAAGAGAGTTTACTATTCAGTAGCCAGGATATGTAATCGAATTTCAGGTGCAACAATTCTTTTTTTTTTTTTTTTTCAGATCCACCTGGAATCTTGGTTTTGAGTGAGTGTGATTGCAGAGCGCGCGTCACCCACGCGGGAAGGAGCTGATGACAGCACAGAAGTGACACGCACCCATGTTAAGCAGTCTCTTCAGATGGGAACTGTGTGACGCTCTTCGTCCTAAACGAGTCGCCAGAGAGACTTTGCTTCAGCCCCATGGCAAAACTGCGCTTGAGGCATGCAGAATTCCCAGTCATGAAACTGGACCATTTAAGACTGTCCCAACAAAAGATAAATTTGAATGGAACGTCCTCAAAGGATAAGTAAAAGAAACTCAATTGTGCAGGGAAGTGGAGGGGGTAACAACAACAAAAAAATAATGGGAGGTTTAAAAGCTGTCAGAAGGTTAACAACCAGTGATCCCGAGAGCCAAGCAGAAGGCTTGGAATATTTTAAGATAAAAAACACCTTCTGTTATATTTACGCTGAGGTGGATAGAAATGTTCATTTCTTTTTAACAACAACTCAAGGGGAGGCTCTCTGCCCATTCTTCCTTCTCTTCCAGTCTAAGTCTGCAAAGATCAAAAAGCGAGCTTGGAAATGCGCGTGTTTAATATCCTGCAGTATTTAATTGCTTCAGTGGGGACTTGACAAACTGCATGAAAGTAGCAGAATGATTGAGTTTAAACAAACGCTCTCCCTGGTGGGTTCCGCCGGGGCGCTTTCATTTTAGCGCTCAGCTGCAGGGATGCCCTGCGGTACCCTCTCCCCAACCGCCTCGTTCTCTCCGTAGCTTTTCTCAATTTGGGAAAGTTAGCAGGAACAGTCTCTTTTTTCAGACCCCCAGGATACACACCCACGAGGTGACCTGAAGGGTGTTTCTGTGCTGCTTCGCCTTTTCCTTTTCACCAGAGTGGAGGCAAGATTCCCAGTGGCAGGCTTCACACCTTTCCCGCCCTGTGTGTGTTCGCAGGGCGCGGGACCGCCTGCTTTTCCCGCAGGACAGACCGACTTTCCAACCACCCACGCGCTGCTGCCCTCTTTCCGCAAACCTCTGGAGCCCAAGTTTTTTCCATAAGCTGTTTACCTCGCCCACCCCTGTCTCCTAAGTTCCAAAATGGAGTCTGGGCCACGCCGGCCCTAGTGCTGTCTGTGGTCGCTGGAAAGGTAGGGACGAGGTGGCGAGCTCTTGGGAGGAAGCGGTGGGACCTGGCAGCGCCTTGGCCGGGCCTGCCGGGTGGGCAGGTGCGCGCCCTGCGCCGGGAGCGCGCCAGGGGGCCCAGCACAAACCTCTGCGCCCACCCAGGCGGGCTTGCTCAGCGCTCTGCCGGGCGGGCCCCGGGTCGCGGCCCACAGCGAGGGCGCATGCTTTGTGGGGGGCCCACTCATGAGCACCCTCACGGGAGGGACTTCACGATAACAGCGCCAGACGCGGAGGACAAGGCCGCAGGCCCACGGGTGGGCGATGGCACCGTCTCGCGGAGCGGCGAGTCCGGGAGTTCTGCGCGGTGGGTCCAGCTGCGTCCGGGCGGAGGGGGTTGGGGTTGTGCCGAGCTGTCCCGTCCCTCTCGCTCCCTCCGGGAGCTGCGTTGCTAGTTCACGCTGACATTTTTTTGTCCACCGGGTCATCTGCTGTCCTCGCGGCTCGGGGCTTTCGACACCCAAGGACGCTTCCAGAGGAAAGGCTAACAGAGAAGCGCCTTAGCAATTGCAGCCTTAAGCTCAAGTCCCTGGAGGAAGGATGGAAAGAGGAAAGTGGAGGAGGTGGAGAGGGGGAGGTGGGGGCCCCCAGAACAGCCCTCCTCGGCCACCCAGGAGGCCCTGCCAGTTAAGCAGCGAGCAGGTGTCAGGCACACACTCCCCAGGAGTCAGCTCCCCGCCTTTCCAGCCCTGGCCGCGCTGTGGACATTCTAAAAACTCTTACCCCAAACAAATCAAGGAAAGCCCATCTTTTCCCCGCGGCCACCATGTCCGAGGACTCCTTCTCCCTTCTCCCCAGCCTTGCTTGGCCTCCGAGGGGCAGGGACCTTTTAGCATTTGCACTCCCGCACCGTTTGCCGCAGCAGGAGCCCACAGGCGCTGGCCGCTCAGCTTTGTTCCCGTCCCGGAGTGGACACAGTGAGAAGGCCGTGGGAAACCAGAGGAAGATCGGGATGGCGGGCACTCAGAGTCGAGGAGGCAGAGGCAGGGGCCAAAAGACTTAAAACATGCCACCTTTTTTAAAAAGCGAGTCGGAGTCCGCGCTCTGGACCGGGATGGGGTGGGAAATGGGGCGGGAGTGGTCAGCGGCCGGCGGGAAGAGCCGCAGCGCCGCCTGGAGACGGGGGCCGCTCACTGCGGGGCACCGGCTCGGGGTAGCCACGCCCGCCGCCTGCTCCCGAGTGAAAACCACCATCTCCGGGGGCTTCTGCTCCCTTCCCTTCAACCCGGGCCTCTTTGCTGCAGTGCAAGAGTCCTGTACACAGTAGAGGCCTGTTCTCCACGCCAACAAGCCAGTCTACCTCCACCACTGGGAACTTTGTAGAGAGCCCGCATCATGTGGCCTGTCCCCGAGCACAAGCCCACTTGGCGGGCTTCTCAGACAGACGATACCTCGATACCACGATACCTGTCCCCGCTTCGGGGCCGTGACTTCCCTCCGGGCAGAGGGAAGATGCCTGTTCTGACCCTTGTGCAAAGGAGCGTGCAGACACTTCAGTCCTAACCACCTGGGATTCCTGCAGATTCCAAGACGTGGGACCCTGTCCCTTGCAGGAGAGGCGAGAGTGGTCCTTCACCCTAGAATGTGACATCACTGTGTTACGAATGGGGTCCCATGAGGACTGTGCTCTTCTGAAACCAGAGAGCAGGAGGAAGTCGGGGGGGGGGGAGTTTTTTTTTGAGATTGGGAGACAAGGAGATCGGCCCTGCCTTGGCGCTCCAGGCCCCCTCCTGCCCACTTACTCCTCCATCCCCAGTGGGGCCACCTCAGGGGACCCAGCCAGGCGTTGCCTCCTCAGCTCTTCCACTGAAAAATGAATGAGGGCCCCAGTAGTGTCTGGGGAGTTCTCCAGTGTCGTGCCCTCCCCCCACCCCCAGCACTGCAGGTCACCAGGCCTCCTGAGGTCACGAACGAGTCAGGGAACGAATTAAGTGGCCATCGCTGAGGTGAGCAAACCTGGGACAGACTTTTCAGCAAGTCCGAGTCTAATTCCAGTTTGGATTTCCCAGGTGAGGCTGTTGGCCACAGTGGCAGGGAGGAGGTGGGCAGATGACATCCACCCTGCCTCCTCAGTCAGTCCCTCAAGAGTCGGAGGCTGGGCACAAACCTGAGGAGTGAGAGTGGCACTTTCGCACGGCGGGAGTCCGGCGTGGAGGGCTGACTCCGGGCACGTGCTGGGTGCGGTGGTTACGCTGGCACCGTCCACAGGTGGATGCTGGGTCAGGGGTGCTGGGACACAGGAGGGGGCTCTCAGGGCACCATGCTAGGTGCACTTTCAAGTTTCCTAGTCCCAGGGAAACGGACCTCTTGCAGTTTCCATGGCCAAAACCAGCTCTGAATCCCTGGTGCTTTTCTACCGGCTTACAACAAAAGGCACTGCTGGCCGAGGGCTCGCTCTGAGCGCCTAAGAGTTTCTTACAGGATGTGGTCAATCTCCAGGCTGTCCCTCCTACCTATTGTGGGACCTAACCTCGTGCACTCCCAAAGGATCATCCCCCGAGAAATGACGAGGGCGAAATCGTCAAACCTTGTTGTCTGTGTTACGAACCAATTTATTGCTAACCCTCCAGCGGGTCTTCAGTGGCTGTAAATCCCAGGAGAGGAGATTGCCCATCTTTCTCCCTAGGAGCCGCGGATGGATTCGAACTGCTTACCTCTGGTCTGGCAGGACAACTCTTTACCCATTCCTTACCTCTTGCTCCCTTTGTTTTTATTAGACTTGCACTTTTTTGTTTGCCTGTTTTTAAACAACTTGCGAACTCTTAAACATTGAGAAAATTCTAACAAAACTCATGATCTCCAATGAGATCTATTCTTATGTGGGAACTCTGGCGTCTCCAGGGTCTGTTTCAAAATGCCAGGGGGCCTCGAATGCCGGTTTTCAACCCTGGCTGCAAAGATCAGAGATGCTTTCGCTGACTTGCTGCGATCGCTACCATCGAGAGCCGCGGCTCTCAGAGTGTGGCCCAGCCCCCGCAGCTTCGTGATCTGGAACTTG